ACATCATCATCATCTCCTCGTAGCGATGATGAAACTAAACACAATCGAATGATTCCCCACCCGAATTCTCCCCCTCACTGCACTACTGCTCTGCTAGGAATAGACCCTAGTCCCCTAGCTGGACCCCCATGCTTACTACACACCTCCTGTTGGTCCCCCACCGTTGTACTATACATACTCGATCCACTAGAAGCGTGCCCCATAGGGCAATACATACTCTCCTCTATAGCAGCCTCCTGCTCCAGCTCCACCCGAGCCGCCAAACTCGCATCTGTTCGATCCTGCGGTAAAGTCGGCCCCTGCAACTCCGGTAAATACGAAAACAGCATCCCAACACTGCTATTCTTGGTCATCTCCTGTCCCCATTCCCTACTGCTACAATACGTATTCACAGCCCTTGAGACCAATGCGTTACTGCTCAATCTCAGCGCGAGATTCCGTATCATTAGCCTCGCACGCTCCTGCGCCGCCTCCATTATAGTCCCCGGCCTATGCCCCCATTCAGCCTCCAGCCTCTCCCGAGCGCTCTCCTCCTCCTCCACCGCAGCAGCCTCCTCCTCGTCATCAAATTGATCTCGACCATCATCCTCTCCCGGCCGCCCCAAGCACGAGTAGTCCTCTGGGTTAAGATATGTCCTCACAGCAACACCAGGATCGCCACTATCCCTCCTCCGCATCGCCGACACCGTTATCGCTTGAACCGCCATAGCAGCACACACATCAACTGCTTTCGACCGGAGTATCCCCAATTGTCGTACAGATAGACTATCGAGTTCCTCAGGCGTAAGTCCACCATGGCGTGCAAACTTACCGAAGAGCTCCGACACGCCCTTCTCCCGGCATGCTCTCGAGCAATAAGTAAAGTCGTTTCGGAGGTAAATCGGTCTATGCGCCCGTATCCTTTTAATACAGCTATAGCAGTCAAAGGTCCTTCTCGCGGTCCCTTCATAATCCCTATCATGCCGCCGCCGACCCCTACCACTCTTCTTCCTCTTCTTAGCTCTCTGAGACGAGCCCTTACGATGGTGCTCCGAGTTCATCGACGCCAATGATGAACATGATGACCGTGCTGTCTCCGGCATCGAGTAAGACTTAGTCAGACCCGCTGATGCAAGAGGCGCCGATCGCAGCACCTCCGTCGAACCCGAAAACGACATTTCTCGTTGAAAAGTATAAACTGAAACAGACCCCTCGCTTTGTTCCCCCACAACCAGCCACCCGACGACCCTTATAAAGAACCCTCCTCAATTTTCTCCCTATAGAGGAGGCAACATCACCAGCATTGAAAGCTGATGAGTTATGGAAACTTAGCAGATTCAGGTAGACACATCTCTAACGAACCCTTCCTCATATGCGAGAAGCTTCGTCGCCATCATAAATTAATATCCCATCCACCACCACCAACCACTCAAGACTACCCTACAGTAGAAACGGTCGACGAGGACAGGAAAGTGGTTTGACGTATGAACAGCTCATTTGCATCGATAAGCGCTGTTCTCAGGCTTTAGCCAAGCTTCACGCTCTTCTTCACGTTAGTTCGAATACCAGTAGCCTCTCCAGAGTAAGTACCATCCGCACTGGCCTCACGAACCTCCTGTACTGCACCCTTACGCCGTTTAACAGCTCTTTCATATCTATTCCTATTCTTAACACGGGCATTGCGATCCTCCTTCTTGCGCTTGCGTGTGAGACCCTTGTTCTTGTTAATGGCGTAGTTGGTCGAACGGAGGTCTACTTCGTTCTAAATAACGACAACAACAACAATTACTCAATACCCTCCCCATAAAAGACGTAGTTGCTATCTATCAAACATATTACCACCTAGATGAGAGTAACGCCCTTACTACTATTACTACTACTACTACTACTACTACTACTACTACTACTACTACTACTACTACTACTACCTCTTCCTCCGGCATAAACGCCTGAGCCTTGGCCGCTAAGGTAGCCTTCTTAGACTGTCGTTTAGCATCCCTCGCCTTCCGAGCCTTCAGCATCATCGAAGGCTCCGCTGCCTCTTCCCCCACATCCTCTGCGTTCTGGACCTACATCAATCCTATCTCGGTCGAAGAGCATCCCAAAGGTACTCCTGCCCACCTCCTTAGCATCATCAGCCTCCTCCTCCATAGTAGCCCTTATCTCTCTCATCGACATCCCTTGTCGAACCTCTACATCATCATCACCACCTGCACGCCCCTTACGACCAGAGGCAGCCTCCTCCACCTAAGTAGAACCCAATACGCGCATCCCAACACTATTCCCAATACTACCTGCTTAGCAGAGTTAAGGATATCTGCCAGATTGGCTCTACCATCCACCAGGTCCTTCACCTCAGCCACCTCATCTAAGCTCACCGACCCCACTCCAGCGTACCTACAACACACTCACATCCCTCCGATTACACCATGAACCATCAGCCATTACTTACCCCTTGCCACCCTTAACCTTAGCCCGCAGCTTGCCATGCCCCTTCTTCCCAGCCCCTGCCCTAGGCCTCAGCAACGCCACCGCATCCTCATCATCTCTAGCGGCCATCCTCGCCAAAATACCCTCCTCATCAAGACCCGACTCCTCAACAGCCACCGGTTCCTTCCCACGGCTAAGGCGCTCCACCAGTTGAGCCTTCGAGACCTTAGCCGGTTCCTCCTCCTCCTCGGTCTCCTCTCCTTCCCCTTCCACCTCCTCTTCCTCCCCCTCACTGACCTCGTCCATGGCCTCCAACTGTTCAACACCAAGGCCAGCTAGTATATCGTCCAGATAAGCCATCTCAGGATCAGGCCCAGCCGTCGTCTGCGAGCGACTGATCAGTTCCTCGACCTGCTCCCCAATGTTTTTCTCTATAGGCTTCAGCCGCTCGATCATTCCCTTAACCCAAGCAATTTTACCAATAACCGGATGCTTCCTCACACTAGCTCCTCTACTCTTTAACATGAAGTAGTAGCTCAAGTAGCTCAAGTACGACAACAGTAATTGGACCTTCGTCTCGACAAATGTCATGCCGCCCTTGCCGCCGGGTGGAGGGCATTTCCGGACAGCCTCCAGCAGATCTCTAGCCTCGTCCCCAAGACTGATAGCACCCTCACGATACTGGGCCAGCAGTGCCTCAAGCTCCGGGCTCTCCTTAATGGCAAGCCTTCGTCGCTCGCTACGGGATAAGGCCTCCTTGGGCTTTTTCGAATCAGTAGTGTCCCCTTTGAAAGTGATCCTTTCAGGTGCAAAGTCGAAATCCTCATCATCATCTTCGTCATCATTATCATCAGATCCCTCATCCCCAGATGCCACTGCCTCTTTCTCAGCCGAGCCCTCCTTCTCCTGGCCACCCGCAAGCTCCTCGACCTACACCAATAATGTTAACATACATCATCATCACCCTCTCAACTGCTAGTACCAAGTCAGCCGTTTTCTTAGGTAAGAGCTTTGCTCGAGACAGAGCAGCCTTCCTTGCCTCCTCCAATTGGAGCTCCTCTGCCTCAGAGGATTCATCCTCAGACTCACTACCTGCCATAGACTTCACTCCCCCCC